TTCAATAATAAGATTAAATATATAAGTTTTAGATCAGAACTATAACAGCAGTCATATAAAAATTAGCAAATATATTACCTGATTCGTAATTATCTCTACTAACAGATTTACCTTTGTCATTTGTTCTAATAATAATATTATTATTATTATCGTTATTAATAACTGTTATATTACTTTCAGAGATTAAATGAATAAAACATTACAAAAATTTTAGTAAAAAGTCATGAATAATGCATTAAAAACATTAAAAATTTTACTGGTAATAATATCGGGAGCATCACTAGGTTCTTCGGTGGGAATATTACCTGTAAGGATTCTACCAGAATATGTATCAGCAGCACTTTTATTATGACAGATATCAGGGACACGACTAGTACTTGTGGCGAAGGCACAACCAAGACTTGTAGTAGAGCACAACCAGTACTTGTAACAGGGGCACAACCAGTACTTGTGGCGAAGGCACAACTAAGACTTGTGGTAGGAATACAACTAGGATTTGTAGCAAGAGCATGAGCAGGACTTGTAGCGGAGATATGATCAGAACTTGTAGTAAGGGTATGCCCAGAACTTGTAGCGAGAGCATGACCAGGACTTGTAGCAGGGGAACCACATGGACTTGCATCGGGGATCAGCAGTGGTAGCACCACCAGTATCAGTAGAGCTACTAGGAGAACTACAAAACATGATAAGGGGGGTTGTACTAGAAATCAAAAGTAAAATACACCAACTAGGAGCTCCAGCCAGTGGTATAGAATTATTTGCAACTTTATCACTTTTTTACCGATTCCTTTTTAACTTATTTTGATTTTGTTCTATAGCAGTTTTTTCGCACAGCAACAAAATCTGTTCTAACTAAAAGTATATTAAAATATATTAGTACCAATATCTATATTTATATGATTATCTATTGTAATAATTACAGTTTCTGATCACTATTCTTTTTTCACAACCTTTATAACGTAGCTATATCTTTCAGGTTCAATTTCAGAACGAATGTTTTGTCTTTTTTCTTCTTCAGCCAGTTCAGTATCTGTTTCAGATACCTCATCACTGTGGTATTCGCTTTTTTCAGTATTTTTTTTAAGTCGTTTAGAGTCTGTTGCTCTGATATATCAAGAGGGAAAAGATTTGTGAGATGCATACTATTTGTTTTTTGTAAATAGGTGAACCCCTTTTTTCGACAGTTAATTTTCTGAGAAGCATAATTAAAATTTTACCAATAGTCATATAAGCAAATTGTTGATGCAAAAAAAAAAAATTCTTACTGCAGTCATCTTTTGATTTTTCTGGTTTTTTGCAAGTGCTTGTATATTTCTATCAGAATCTTGTTTTCTTAAATGCTTTTCACGTTGATGCCAGTGGTGTTCCTTAATAATTTTGAGTATTTGGTGATCTTCCACCTGGTACCTTCTTACATCACGTTTCACTATTTTAAAGGAATTTTTGAGGAATTTCTGCTTAAATTCTGACTAAACTTGGGATGGGTCAGGGTTTCCAGATTCTTCTAATCTGGAAAATGAAATCTTAATATCATTCTATTATAATAAATTTAAATTAATCAATAGATAAAAGCACCTGATATCTATACAGTTCATTTTAATAAAAATTAACTGATATTAAACAATATAAGAAAATATCTAAATACAAATGAAATACAGATAATTATTAATATAATCATACCCTTAATACTTTTTTTGTTTTAGGGGAAAGTGATCAGAACCTTTTTTTAGAGGCTTTTTTGTCACCTCATTTGTTTCTGTTATTTCTGCTACTGCGGTTTCTGCTACTATAGTTTTTGCTATTGTTGCTGCTATCGTTTATGTTGCTGTTGTTGTTGCTGTCATTACTGCTGTCATTGCTGTTGTCATTGCTGCTATCACTGCTGCTGTTGTTACTATTGTTGCTATTAGGAGTTACTGAACAGGCCCTTTTTCTATATATCCTTTTTCCATGTGTACTTTTTATAAAATTATCAAGTTTATCACTGAGGTTTTTAATATCAGTCCTTATTGCCTTATTTCATCTACAAAAAAAATATATCAAACTACACAATAAAAAAAAACCAATAGCTTTTGTAGATATTAAACCCGATATCGATATCTGTATTTTATAGGGTACACTTAACATGCATATGTGCTACAAATCTTTATCTGATATGTAATATCACTAAATACTAAAAACATCAATGTTGTTACCTTTATCTGCAATATTGTTTGCAGTATTGTTTCTGAGAGAAATATTCGAATAACATAAAGAACTTATATTAGAAGCGTTGTAGTAGTATCAGCTACAAAAAGATGCATTTAAAGTAATATGATAAGTATACTACTTATTTTGATGAATAAAAATATAAATATATATTTTTTTTATTATCTTTAAAAAAAGTAGAGAAAGAGAAAAAAAAGAGTATACACCAGAATTAATTATTTTTTGTTCTCTTATATAGCGATAGGTGTGAAAAAAAATTAATATATCAAAACAAAGTACGTAATGTTATCGTATATGTATTTGCCAAGAAAAAAATTATACTTCAGGGCTTTAAATTTATAATCACATTGCTGCCAAACCCTGAAATTTATGATAAGACCTATCAGGGTTAGAAATTGCTTAATTGTTACATGAATCATAATATAAAAAAGCAATCTATAAATCTTTTTTTAACACAGTGTAACATGCAACAATTAAGTAGCCTGGATACATATACCCTAAAATTAAATATCAATTTTTGGGAGAGCAAACAGAATCGGCAGCAATGAGATACAATCTCTGCAAAATCAAATAGATTGAAACTGGTAAATTATAAATTTAAAATCCCAAAGTATGTATTTTTTCTTTGGCACTACTAATTAGATATCGGAATACTAAATCTTTTTTATTTAAATGTTTTTCTTATAAAAATATAATACAGAGTAAGATCTTCATCTATAGATATCGGGACATCTAAATTTAATTGATACCCTGATATTAGTATTAATACTGATATTAATATCGGAAATCCCTATTTATATTCATTTATAATTTATTGATTACCGTATTTTGTAGACTAAAGTACCCTCTCCTGTAAATATTTACATTTTAATACTGCAACATCTTAATACTATTATGAGACCAACTTTGTATTTATATCTTTAGGCTATATCTAATAATAAATAAATAAAA